TAACCAAAAATAAAATTTGTTCACCCCCGAATAAATCTAACTTATTGATTACCATATATGTCTTCAATAAGTTTTTTGTATTAGATTCACATTAATTCACACGATTTTTTTAAATACCGCTATTATTTCTTTAAAAGATCGAATTAGATAAATTATACGTACCGGGGCGTACTACGTACTCTGTTTAATTTTGCTTAAACAGCATGCAACAATAGCTGGATTTTAATTTCAAATTACAATGGTTAAATTCCTTTTTTATACATGTATTAGCATTCTGTATTACGTACATGTACACAAGCCGAGAAGTAGTTCAAAGTTACCCAGATAGGGACGACATGACCGGGATACTAAATTATGTCATTGTCTATAGTAGGTCACTATGATATCGTTATACGAAATGTCTAGGTTTCTATGATGATGTCGTTATATCCAGCTGTCGTTGTATCCAGAGGCATGGATAATACATGTAGTTTTTACAATGACAAGAATCTTATTCTGTATTCATTTTCATCTTATTGTTATTGACTAATTATTTGAATAATGAAAAAAAGCTAATTCAGATAAAGAAAATTAAATTAAACAAACAAAAAATGGGTGTCTGTGCTGTTCTCGACATTGAATGTAAAATAAGAAAGGTCGTTAGGTAAAAGTGGATTTTAACCTAAACAATTACAATAAGTTGCATCGGTAACGTAGTATACGCATGGGGAAATGCGTCAATTATAAACTTATATACTAACCTATATTTGGACCTCTTATTACATGAAGCATCTGATTTTTTAAATTTATGGAAGGATATTCCATTTACGCCCTTGTCTACATGCACATATATAATGTACGTATAGTCCGTAGATTAACGTATTTGGTATTTGCCGCTCATCACCGTAAAAAATACTAAATTGAGATTCGTTTTAACATGGATCATAAGTTTTATCGTTATCTTTTGAAGGATTATTTTATTATTAAAACTAGTTTCGATTCATTTTCGTAAATTAAGGTATAGTTGATATATATATATATTTATATTTTTAAATAGAGCTAGGCCGCTAATTAAACTCTTTTTGAGTGTGACGTAAATCTATACACGCATACTATCGGTTTAATACGGGTATAAGAAACCTTTATCACATTCTACGTAATGATACATCAATCGTCCGATTCTTTAGGGCTTGAAGAGTCGACCAACAATACTGTATAGAAAGTTCTTGTAGTTGCTTAGGCGCTCGGAATTTAAATGATACTATCATTTACTTTTAGAGAAGATGCCATCTTCTCGCACTATTCTAATAACCACGTAATTCAATTGCTTCGCAAATAATTGTTATTATACTGTACATCAAAAGTACTAATAATAAAATATCGACAATTTTAAATTTTGTTTTATAGACTAGTAAACCCCTTTAAATGCTATTTAAAAGATTTTGTAATACTCAAAATGAATAATCGGAATTCCAAAGAAGTTCAACAAAGCTTCTTAGTTACATGCAACATCTGAAGAAAATAATGACATCTTTCACAATTGTTTAATCTCAAAAAAAAATAAAGACGAGGCACTCGGGATCTCAAGATGAGATGAATGGAGAGAATTAAAAACAACAAAATATTGTGCAGCAAATAAAGAGCATGCGCATCTTAGTTATATTTGATTCGTTTTTTAATTGCAAGATTCATTGTTTTTTGAACAAAAATACAACGACTAACACAGATAATGCATCGAGGTATTGTCGGACGAAGTTTTTATCGATCTTTGTTTATGTCGAACAAAAGAGTAAATTTTGTTCCTGTAATTTAAAAATTTTAGTTCTCAATAGGTCATATTTATGAATTTTTAATTATGTATATTATAAAGTGACTATAATTATTTATGAACAGTACAGTAAACTTTAGTTGATGGATGTTAATTAGAACGAAAGAACATAATAATAAGAATTGACAAACAGATACAAATAAGAAATCAGTACTATTGGTGTTATTTAAATAGGTCGATATCGATATTTAGTAATTACATCTAGAAACAATATTGGATCAATTCCAGCCATATGTAGAATTCTAAGTAAAATATTTAGGGATATTTGAGAGAGGCTAGTGCTCCGAAAACCGAAATTAAAACCAATACAGTCTACCCCAATAGTATGCATTAAGAGAAGTATATCACAATAGTTATTCTATACGTATACTTTTGGAACTGGAATTATAAGGTTCATTTAAAAAGTGTGGGATTATAAATTATATAATCCGTTACCATCAAATAAATTGGTGATCATAATAAGTAATCAATGCTTTGAAATTGGAAAAATTATCAGTCATGATTTGTTAAGAAGGTCGACTACTTGAAATGAATTGTTCTGTTGCCGAGAAATAAATCAATTCTTTTGCATTTTTCGGCCTATGTTTATAATTCTGCTCTCCGATATTTTTAAAAACACTGGTTTGATTTCCATTTAAACCTTCGCAGTATGCTTAACGTTTGACATTAGGTCTAAGTAGACGTAAATTAGCTTCATATCTTTTCGAAAGTAATCCAACTGTTTTGTGTCTCCAGAATTACATGTTCGTGTACGTACGTACCGGTACCATGTTTTTCGCAGGATGACGATCTTTTAAATTTTTCGGTTCAATCTGAAACCGAACCGAGTTTTAGTTCGGATTGGTCCGAATTGTTCAGAGCAAGAGTTAAATTATATATAGAGAAGTTTCCCGCTTTTCGATAAAATTCAGGATTATCCATTTTCCTTTTTAAGAAGGAATTTACTCTCCTTTAGTATCATTGATTCACTCAATTGATTGTTTAACGTCCCCAACCCACTTCAACCAACTTCCAAATTGAAATTTAGCATTCTATATATATCGATATAACACAAAGTTTTCTGAAGAGGCGACAGAACATGTCATTTATGTTTACTAGCCTAGATCAACTTTCAAAATTTACAATATTTCCAGTACGTAGTTGATTTGTATTATTACATCACAACTCATGTCATGCTCGGACATAAGTAGACTTATGTCTGAGCATGACATGACGATGAGTTGTGATACATGCATTATCTTATCAATAAAATTGTAGTTTTTTTTACCTCTGCCTCGACCTTGATTTTTTCAAAAAAAGGGACGTTAAACGACTATTCAATTTCAAACAGCCTAAGGTAGTTAAGAATTATCCATATTTTTGAACTTTTTTCTTGATTAGAATTATTTATATTAATGACTCGGCTTTCAACATTTGTAATTCACGAGAAAAATTATCATTTTATTAAACAAATATAAAGAAAAACCTAAACAAAATGAAAGAACGAATCAAACAGGCAGAACTACTAATAAAATAAACGAAGAGCAAACAGAACAAATTAACAAGCAAACGAAATTCGCATAAATATAATATTATTTGCGAGACATTGATCAGAATTAATTAATTTAGAGTCTAAATTACATTAATTGCGCACGAAGTATTATTATTGAGTGTTTTAGATATAAAGTAAAAAAACGTTCGAGTGATAAGAGAAATAAATAAATTATGTAGCGATAAACTAAAGTTGTCAAAAACAAAAGAGGCATGGCTCGGATAACAATTGTAAAAGTATTCTTGCTTGAATAATGGTTTTGGTGAAATATTATTGCTGTGCAATATTTTCGTCATATGGTTATAAATAATTGTATTTTGAAAATGGTGATGTGGTTGGAAGTTTGTTGAAGTTCTATTACTAGCGTTATATCTCCGATATCATTCATCGAGCACATAATAGTTTGCAATTATTTCACTAACCTTAATGTTGATTAATAAAGCGTTGTCGTTGATGTTGTATCATCCATAACTTTATTTGTTATTGAAGAGACAATGAATTGACTGGGTATTTTTTTTGTTCCCGAAAAATGAATTTTTTACGGTTTGAATTTTTGTCATTTTTTGGCTTATACTTATAATTAGGATATATGCGCCTATGATTCTCACAAGCTATTTTCTCCAATACTTTGAAGAAATTCTTGACCTCACTTGATAACTGTCGCCACTTCAGGCTACACTCTCGAGCCGTATGTTTGACTTCTTGTTTGACGTCAGAATTACAACCACGTAAGTTTGCTTCATAATCTTTTCGAAAAATAATCCAACTGTTTTGTGGTCGTGGTGGATTCTCGAAATCAAGGTATCTTTTTACGGCTGATTTTGTTAATTCGTCAACCGAAAGAGTCAATTGGTAAGGACATTGCTGTAAAATCTGCATTTCAGTATCAGTTAAATATGAGTAATTAGTGGTGGGATTAGTCATTTATTAAAAATTGTTATTGAAAAAGATTAAAGGTTTCTTTCTTCAAATTACACTTTGACTTTATTTATACCTGTAGCGATAGAGCAAAAATGATATACATGTACATGTATACCGTAAACTATCGTGAATAAGCACTACTTTTGGTTCTAAAAAACAAGGCAGTACTCGTTTCTGGACATTTCATCACAATTTAAAATTATCGCCATTTAAAGCGATTTTAGATATAATGTATACGTAATTTGTGGAACGGGGCACTTTGTTAAATCAGACTACTGCACATTTATTTGTACATTATTGAGTTTGTTCAGGGTATTTGTTTTCTTTATTATAGACGCGAATATTAACGTACTTTTGGATTGAAAATAAATGTATACAAATAATATGCAAGTACAGTCAAATCCCTCTATAGTCACACCCATTTATAGTCACACCTCTCTATAGTCACACCTCTCTATAGTCACCCTATTTTGCTTTCCCATCATATAAACATAGTAAAAAAATCCCCTCTATAGTCACATCCCTTTCCTATAGTCACCTAATTTTGCTTTCCCGAGGGTGGTGATTTGACTGTACTGTAATTTGCCATGCAGAATACCCATTTGTAGTATATTACACTGGACTTAATTTATAGTTTATTTAAGTAAAATGTAGCATACCCGGATTTAATGAGAAAGCTTTATCTAATAGTCTAATGCTAATGATACGTATTCTCACTAATCAATCATTGCGTATCAAAAAATTTGCAACCTGTGATTAATGTCTGTGTTGCAAATAACCCCCAAATAATTTCAAATGATCACGTAATTGATTAATATTTTCATATAAAATGCCTATCAACACACAAACACCAGGATATAAATAAAAAATTAGCACAGTAAAATGTAACGTATTCAGGATATTCTGTATAGTAAATTACGGCAATTGCATATGTCGATCTCAAGGTTGTGCCTCAGATGTTAATCGTCTAAGCTAATGTTTCACATGCTCAATTTCAGCCAACGTTAAGAATTTAGTTGCTGATTTATACAAAAATTGTACAATCAGAATTTTTACTGCATAACGATAACAATACGTAATGGAATTTTTGATGGTTCTATCTAAACATTATCAGATCAGATTCACTGTTTCAACAAATTTTCCTTTAGAAAAAATTGTGTACGAAATTTGCAATTTTTAAATCGCGTATTATACTCTCAGAAAGTACATAACATATATTTTTATAAAACCCAAATTATAGTCTATTATTCAGAAACGATTAATCCTCAATATATTAAATATTTAACCGAAAAGTTCAGATCAATCCAATATAATGACATGTGTAATCAAGTATTTACTTGTATCAAATCGAATGACAGTATTTTTTTTTGCGAATCCAACAACTAGGTGTCGTTTAAAAGTTAACGCTCGCTAAAATTTTTATAAAATCGATGAACAGTTCAATAAATGGTGATTTTTAGGCACGATATCTCGATATTCAGTGATCGAAAATACCATCATCCGATATTATGAACTAAATGGCATTTTTGTGCGAATTTGATCACTGTGTGTCGAGATATCGCGCTTGAAAAAGAAAATTGATATCAACTTACTAAATATTTTTTATAATTTAGGAATCCAGCATTTCAGTATACTTTATCAAAATATAATATAAAATTTTTAAATTATAGTATTTGTCTACTTGTGTGATATAAATTTGATGAATCTTTTGTAATTAGAAAATAATTTCTAGAAACTAAAAATTTCATTTGTGATTTTTTGATTATTTTATTACTTGAATTAAGGTTAGTGTTAACTGAAATCAAGATAATATGTAAATGCTTTCCGATATTTTTTGTTTTGCAAGGTTGATAGCAAATGAAGACATAACTAAGTATTAGTTACTTAAGAAATTTTGTATGGTAATAATAGGAAAAAATAAAGTTTATAACACCATGGGTGGGTTTTTGTGCGTGATTTTTATTTAAAAATAAATGTATTTGTAACAGCTGTTATTTGTAACAACCGCATTCTAATTGTCTAATTAGGACCTGAGTTAAGCTTCTGGATATGTGATTGGTTGAATTATATACACACCCTCTGTATATGTATAACAAATTAACCCTTATTTCTTAATAAACTGGATGAATGGAATATTCTAGGTTATCGAATTTTGCTCTATAATAGTAATATTTCGAAGGCATAGGGCAAAGAAATTTAGTTCCATATTTTATTAGACCCCCTACCAAAAGTTTCCAAACATATTAAAACGTGAACCTTTTTAAAAATTCGTGTAACATGACACCAAGCTAAAAAATCTGGTTATGATAAAACAAAAGTGGTCGAATTAATATGCAGGGTTGGCATTTGGCTGATTTTTTTATTTTTGGCTGATGATCATCAGCCAAAATTACCAAAAATTACTATATTTGGAAAGTTTGGCCGCTGATCTGGCCAAATAATTTTAAAATTGGCCAAAATGCCAACCCTGCCCTCTGTGTATAGATGTATCGGTATTCACTTAAATCTCATATTGTCCGGTTTGGTCCTTTGTGTTTTCGGATTGCAAACCTAGTGTTCCGAATGGTTCGGATCAATCCGAACCGAAAAAATCATTTCGGATTGATCACCAAAAAATGAGGTTTAATCCGTAAATTTTGGAACAGCACGGGAAAGTAATAGCAGTTAGTTTCTTTAAAGAAGAGAAGTTTTCAAAGAAAAATTACATGGAAAACTTCATTCTGGAATACTTCTGAGTAGGGCATCATGCTCTCAAAAGATCAACGCACATGGATACTAGAAGTTTTCGAACACTTTTTCAGGCGCGTTATCTTGACACCCAGCTATTGGATTCATACAAAAATACTACCATTCAATTCGTCTAGTTGTGCTGAATCGAGTGGTGATATCTTTGTACGATTCCAACAACTGGATATCGAGATATCGCGCCCGAAAGTTGCCGTTCGTTGAACCGTTCGTCGATTTGTATCGAAATTTTAACGAGTGTTAACTTTCGGGTGCGATTTCTCGACACTTACAGTGGCGCTCTAAAGCAATGCTGCACTTGAAAGATAAATTTTGCATGCAATAACTGCTCGTACACAACGTTAAACAATATATACTGGGCTTATTTTAGTCACCAAATATAAAAGCATTATTATGTTTACTTTACATTCATTCGTAACTTAAAAAATAAAAATAATCCATTTTTACATCAAATTAAGTGATCCGTTTTTTTTTGACCGTTTTGATTAAAAAAAAATGCAAATTAAGATTTCTAACCAACTGGCGAATAAAAATTCACCAAATTTTAACTAAATATTCTTTACCACCTAGTGTATCCACCCTTTGCATTTACCCACCTTTTGTATTGATCATCTTGGATACGCTCCTCCATACTTTCAATTAGATTTGTTAAAAATGCATGATGATCAGAGTTAAGATCGGGTGATTGGCAATCAAGCGAGTAGAATTTGCCGTATATTTTGGATCATTGTCTTGTTGAAAGACAATATCATTCTTATTAATATTACACCACCTGATTGTTTCTAAAAGATCATCATTTAAAATTTCACGGTACAAGTCCTTATCCATATGACCATAAATGCACACAATATTACCAACGCCAGAGAATGAAAAGCAACCCCAAACCATTATATTCCCATCTTCAAATTTTACTGTAGGTTCACGTGGTGCTCTTTTAGTGGTTTCCAGTAGTATTCAGTCCATTCGAATTAAAAATCATAAATTTTGATTCGTCAGACCAGATACATTAACTTTGCTCCAATCGTTGTTGATGTTTTTTGGCGAAATTTAACCGTTGAATCTGATGTGTTTTCTTAAGATGGTTTCTTTCGCTTAATTGTGATGTAAAGTTCGCTTTATTGTGCTTGCGCTGACTTCGATTTTGTCTTCAGATTTCAGATTTTTTTTGGGATGGAAACTGCAGTATAACAATCACCATTCGAATTAGACGTATGATATTTCGTTCGTCACGACCCGTAAAAATTCTAGGATGACCTGGTTTTGGTAAATCTTTAAAGGTATCATGAGTATCATTTTTTTTTTGCTTTATTCTTATGATGGTGGATTGGGAAATATTTTCGCGGTTTGCAATAAAACGAGAGGAATATCCTTCTTGAAGAAGGGTATAAATTTGGATCTTTTTTTCGATGGGGATATGTGCCACGATAATTTGAATGGTATGGATAAGAGTATATTCTTAGTATATTTTATATACTGTATATCGATATGGTGTGTATATTGATTTTGAGGGGGAAATGCATCACCGGTTTGACGTAAATAACGACCAAATAAATACGTAAAGTGGTGTTACATTTATTTATTATTTAAATTACGTGAGCAGTTTATCTAGGCTTTTAACTATATATGTGCTGAATTTCATATGTCTGGCGTTTATATTACTAAAAATTGACTTCATTTCAGTGCAATACTTTTGAGCGCCAACTGTAACTATTGGACGACAACAAAATTTAGTCCCCAAGTAAAACTGGAATGTTTCGTTATTAAGAAATCTGGTTAATTTATTATAGACTATATCCAGTTTATCAAATACGTATATACTCGCTACATTCACTTGAATTTCGGAACCCAAAACCGGGCCGTATTAATCGGTTTGACCTTTTCATCTTCGGATTGCAAATCAAACCGAAAATTCCGTTTTGGTTTAGTTCGGATCAATCCGAGTCGAACACCAGAGACATGGTTCTCCTGACTTTGGATTATATAATGAACCCAAGTGGCGAAACCTTCTGACTAATCAAAATAATAGCTTACATCACACGATGATTGATGAAACCTTCTGACCAATAAAAATAATAGCTTTCCAAATTTTAAAAGAATGTTACGTCATTAGAATCTAGTACAAAATTATGCTAAATTTTGGCCAGCATTATGAAAACTTGAGACAAGTGTATAATTTTAAATATATATACCTCTGGTAAACATTATGACTTGACCTATTGTTTTTTTTTATGGTTTACCGTTACGTAGTTTGCCAAAATTGTCATTCGCCACTTACATTTCCAAAGTGAAGTTTCGTGAAATCAATACATGTACCAGTACATGTACATGTATTATTGATGTTTAAATATGCATTTTGCGCATTCGTTCATTTCTAAAAAAATGGTCATCATCGTCAGGCACGAGCTAGTACATGTACATGTTCGTCACAGACATTTTCAAAATGGTCGTGACGAAAAGTTTCGTCATCGTCAAGTATCATTACTTTGGATAGCAAGCATAAATGCAACATCGAATTGATTCAGGATCGGATCACTGCAAGTCACCGATAATTTTTCAATGGTGAGATATTCGAATCTCACCATTTTTTTTCCGTGTTCCGAATTTGAAAATTTATCAAATGATTATTATTCTGAATCAAAAAACATGTCCATCGAAGATTTGGCTTTAACAAATTTGCCACGCGACTATCTTGAGCTCGTTATGCAAACTATGTAATACCATTTGGGCTGATTAGCACCCCTAGTATTTAATATAATTTTTCTTTACTTAGCTGGTATGCCGTATTAAATGTACATATGATATCAGTTTACCTAAAGCATCAAATAGTGAGGGCCAACGCTAACACACCAAAATCGCTGTGTTCACTGAGTAGAAGCATCAAGCATCGTGCTGTGAAAATTACAAATCCGATCGGTTAATCTTATATCCTTAGTTTACATACATATACGTAATTCGACTTCAAAGAGAATGTTTTGTAAATTATAACAAAAACCTGCTTGTTTAGAACATCCTATCCTGGATTGATCCTATTCTATGGATGGACTATTATCCTATCAGCCCGGACTGAACCTTAAAATCCTTAAATTATAAATATTCTGGAACAATGTTCGCAAAAACGCAAATTTGAAGCCTACGCGAAGAATATCAAGCTGAAAAGAATGTTGTTGATGAGATCAAATGCATAATAAATGAATACGAGAATATCCTTGATGATGGATATACTACTCCGGTTGAAAACCCCACTAAGAAATGGAAAGGTGATTGGAATTGAATTGAAAATGGGATTGAATCATGTACGTAATTCGAGTTTAGAAATTCGAATCTTAATCTTGTACAAGATGTATATAATACAGTGGCTCACACATGTAACCGAACACGAAAATTAACTTTCTATATAGCATTTTTATTTCCATGACTATTAGTTTGGACAAAATAAAAAAAGTGTTCATTTGAAACCCTGAAACCTCTAA